TGTAATACTACCCCCCCCCCCCTCTTTTTTTTTTCCCTATAGCAGGGAAGACCAAAAAAGTATCTCATAGAAGTTGGGGTATACTAGACATTATTAGAGTTGAGTGTTTAGAACTGTAAAAGATGAGGAAAAATCTAAAATGGTTGTTATTATACCTTGCCTGTTTAATGATTACTCAAGTCATAAAAAAAATGTTCATAATTAATTTACTGAAATACTAGAAGTGCAGGATTTACTTACAGGCTTAGCAGGCTGAAGGCAAAGGCCTCAAAATCTAGGGGGCCTCCAGCCAAGATATATAATATTTTTGACAATGTACATATTCTGTCATAACACACTGTAGATTCTGAACAACCCTTCAATAATTTTCCATTTCAGATTAATACCGTCTAAGGCCAGATAACTTGATGCTAGCATTAATTTCTTTACAGATTTTGTCATTCCAGGAAAGCAATGACGTAGATAAGCTGTGTATCTGAAAAGATGTTACCATTTTGATCAGTAAAGTTAGTAATAAAACTGCACTTATTGTAGTGCCTTTGTCAGTGACAAGAAAAGGCAAACACATTGTGTGAATGGCTTTTGGAGGCATATTTTGTAAGATAATGGTAAATGGCTAAATAAATGTGCTAGACGTCAAAGGTCATATAGCACTATGATATAGTATTGTAGCAAAAAGGGTAGGAGTAAGTTAACAAATAGGATAAGTGGACAGAAGAAGGGGATGAAGAAGAGAAGGAAAAGGAAAGCAGCAGAAAATTAGTTGAGGTTTGGGCTGAGGTCCAAGGCAGGGGTGGTCCCTTACATTGGGGCTCAGTCTCCACCTCCTAAGGCTACTCGTGAGAATGGGGGGATTTGGAGGGACTTCACAAGTACAACACCCTCAGTATTTTGTTGATACTGCCAATAATACAGATATACATAATATGAATAGATAAACCACAGGTAAATATATTTTCAAACAGAGCTTAGTTGCAGATATATTATTTCTTTAATAGTTATAACTGATAAGAGTAATCCCTCCTAATAGAACTAATTCTCTCTTATCATATTCTCTTCAGTTATGGTTGACAAAAAAAGGTATATGCTAAAGTATATTTTATTAGACAAAAATCTTAGAAGTACCGTAGAAAAAAGTTAACAACTTTGTCACTTACTTCCAGAATTTAACAAGAATTTGATTTCATTACATTAAATAGCCTTTTTTTTCTTAATCTTATAATTATTTCATGTAAGACAACACTGCCTAGGAATATGG